GCGGAGAGAGCTGGAGGCCTTGGCCCAGCGTCCGCGACTGGCGCAGGGAAGCGGGGACCGAGCCCAGGACACCGGCGGGGCGGCTGCGCCTCTGCAGCCGGTGGGGACGCTGGGCGGGCGGGAGAGGTGGGACGCGCGGCGGCAGGGCTGCACCCTGCGGTCCGGCCTCGTCCCGGCCGGCCGGGGAGGGCTGGCTCTGCAAGGCGGCACCCTTGACCGCCAGTAACCCCGACGCCGCCAGGAGCCAGTCCCACCCCTGCCTGAGGAGGACGCGCCCCGCCCGGCCCTGCGCCCCTTGCTCCCTAGTGTCGGGGCTGCAGCCTGAGGGACATGTGTGGGGAAACCGGTCCGGAGCGAAGAGGTCCTGTTCTTGCCCACCCTCGTTCCTTTTGTCACTCCAGCTGCCAGCGGAGCACGCGTTGTCCCTCCCGTATGTTCTCATTCATGAACAAGAGGCCGGGCGGCTTGATTTTCTGCATATAAAGCTCAGCGCTCTGTATGGGATGGTAAATGTCGTCCCCAGATACGTCGCTCCCATCCCCCTCCCGCTCTCCCTTTCCATTGACGAACTATGCAGACATAGGTTGGGTGTTATCTCCATTTTACATGTGGGAAAACTGATTCATGGGGACAGGCTGCACGTTTGACNTTCAAATGCATGATTCCAATTGTAGGCTGTGGGATAAGGATGGATGGACAGGCCTTAATCATCTCTTCATTCACATTCGGTATGTAGGCACCTACGCTCCCCCCACCCCCAAACATAACCATTGGTGATAGACCTAAAGACTCAGAAAGCATGTAACAGATATGAATTTCTCATCATTAAGAGAGGAATGTCCCCTCCCAATTAGCCCAGGCAGAAGCCTGGTCTCTTAATAGTGCCATTTTCGTACAGATTGTCATTATATGAATGAATAAATCCCTAGCTGGTCAAAAGCTTCTGAAGCTGAGCATTAAAGCTCTTTTTTGTTGAAGTTTGTCATGGGCCTTTCAATGTGAATTGCACAGCTAGGGCACATAAACAGCCCCAATGCCTTGAATGGGACCATCTCTATGCAAACAGGAGGGCAGCATGCCAACAGTGCCTGGCACTCCAGGCCAGCTGGCTCCTCAGAGTCTCTGAGCTAGTCAAGTTGTTTCAGTGGAGCTCAGCTCTTATGGTGGGATGGCCCCCTCGAGGCAGTGGTTGGCCAATGTAATTAAGTGTAATTAGAGGAGTCCTTAAGAGCCAGTGGAGCTGAGCTGCTGTCCTCAGGAGAGCCACTTTCTGAAAGCCCG